ACAATCAGACTCCATTAGAGACTGAAGTCGAGCATTTCCATTTATTGCTGAAGAGTCCTAATAAGGATGACTTTCTCCTTAGTGGGCAAATTCAAAGGCAGAGTGTTGAAAATATTTTGAGTGTTGAAAATATTTTTTATCTCTGCTATTTTCTTTCGACGTTATTCAATAATCATTGGTTACTTATGAACCTCTACTAAAGATACCCATAAAATATTTTGCTGAACATCCGAATATCTTCTATATCCTGGGATATAGACGGACATTTGGATATCCATATTAGATCCACTGGATATATTGGATATCCACAAAATATATTTCTTGTATTGTCTGAATTAGATATTTTGCTGGATATTCATAGGATATCTTCTATATTCTGGATATAGACGGACATTTGGATATCCATATTAGATCCACGGGATATTTCAGATATCCTGTGGATATATTGGATATCCACAAAATATATTCTGTGGATATCTCTGGGATTTGGTGTGTTGTCTGGGGCGTGTATACCATTTTATATGCCGTATGCAATGTACGCCTATTGAAGGTGATGTTATATCCCCTCTTTTGCTGCACTCCTCTTTTATTCAGACTAATAATTGGAAACTAATGACATGTTAAAGTCAAAATGTAAATTTTGCACTTGCGTCATTGTTTTACCAGAAGAGCGAATGTTAATAAATATACCGCAAATAGGTAGCCTAAAAAAATACTGTCAAGGCTATTTTCACCCGAGAATACCGATCAAGGAGAAGCGACAGTAGCTGTCGGTGCCTTTGATATCGGATGTACCTTTTCACAGCATGACTTTGATTGGTACACAACTTAGCACACTGAGAAAACATGCTTATTTTCTACACTGAGCGAAATAGTTTGGCAAATTATCTGAAATTATTGTTATAGTCCATGCGCAAATGTTGCAATGTGATTTAATTACATTGAAGTAGTTAGGGTTAATAGCAATGGTGAAATTTCGGCACCAAAATATAATTCATTATGTAATAATTAATTATTTGTTATAAAAGTAAAAGACGTTTATTATTTTATAATTTATCTATAAAATTTGTTCAATATTTGGTTTATTTATTGTTAAAAGTGTAATAAAAGCCCCATATTTAAATTAAATTACCTTCTCCTTAAGTAAAAATAAGGTAAATAAAATTAAGGGTGCCAAAAAAAAATTAGGTAACAATTAAAAAGACATTAAGTTTGAGAGGTTTAACTAAATATTTGCAATGTGCATATATTTTCAAAGCTTTTAGGTTCAAAAAGTACTTACATATTTTTAGAATTTCTAGATTTATATTATATTAAAAGGACTTTCAAGTTTATCACTCATTTCTGTAGAAACAAATGTTTTCTCGCTAAGTTAAACGAGATGTCATTTAAAGTTTATGTATTTAAAGTCAAATACCTGGCCTGGCTATCACCCAGACAATACAAATATGTCCATTGGACGTCCATTCGATATACAATTTTGGATGTCTAGACGTCCAAAAATGAGTTTTCTGGACTTCTGACATCCAATGGACGTCCAGTGAAATATACAAATGGCACACTTTTGACCATTCAGAGGACGTCCAATTCTGGAATATATTTGGACGTCGAATACTGGACATTCAAAAAACGTCCAGGGTTATATTTCCATTGAGACCACATCCCCATTTTTTTTACAGAACCGCAACTCACCAAACACTATTTTATATTATTAATAATTTGTTCATTATTTTCGCAAACCGCTATACACCATTTATTTATTTTTTATTAAAAATTGCTTGACCTGAGCGGGGATCGAACTCACGACACATCCATTATCGTTTTACGCTTTCAATCGCTAGACGAGCTCGACCAAGGAACCACTTGAAAACTTTTTACTAGATACAGTTATAATTGAATAAGATTCCAAACTTCCGCTGATAGAATGAAATGCAATAGATTCAATTTGTCAATTTTTAATGACCAGTTATATTAAAAAAAAGAAGTATATATAGATGGGTATTATCTGCTAGGCTTAATAAATAATGACCTAAGATGGACGTCAAAATACTACTAAACTTAAAATTAAGTCCAAAAAGAGACGTTCTCTGGGTATCGATATTCAGCTGTCAATTTAATTAGCATAAACGGACGTACACTGGATGCCCGGATATGGACGTCCTGACCCTCAAATAGATCTAAAGTGGACGTCTATTGGACTATGTGTTCATAGACAAATTTTTAGAAATAGTACTTATTTAAGTATGCACCAATATTTCCAAAATCAACTCCAGTATGATTCATTCAATAAATGTAAATATGAATGGGCAAAACATCTTTATATTGACATCATTGTAACTTACAATTTAGCCATAATAAAAGGATTTTTGACCAATCCTAATTGAAACACGCGAATTTATTATATTTTTTAAAATATAATTTCAAAATAAAATAAACAAAATCTGCAGTTCATTGTTTATTAAATTTATTTATAAGAAGAAAAACATATATTTCACAAAATACAATACCTACATTTGAAAAATAAAATGTCAAAAATGATTAAATCATTATACTTAATATTTATGCATGTGATAAAATTCTTAGTTTCCTAATAACTTTTTTGGCACATTTTATATCTGTAGTAGAATACCTAAGTGTGTAAAAATCTTCATCTTATTACTACATAAAACAAACACCAAAAAATATCACTTAAGGAGGTCCTTTCGCCACACCTCTCGCCTCAAATGTTAAAAAAAAGTTATTAGATTATGACTAAAATTAATTTTTTTCTAATAGTTGAAGTCCTTATTTATCTAATACTGAACTTTTAACTATACCTTACCTTACAAATTTTTGAGAATTTTTTTTTTAAAAATGTGAGTATTTGTAAAGTGCCTCACGAGAAAGTAAGTCCTCAACAACAATTCTCGAATTATACTATTATTTATTGATTAGATGGAGTAGAAAAAAACTAAAAATAAGGTTTTTGAAATATTTAGATTTTGTTTTATACAATAAAATATATATAGTAAACCGTGGAACTTATTGAGAAATTAATATTAAAAAATCACAAAAACTTTTCAAGTAGGTAACCTAGTTGAAATTTTTTTGTGATTTTTTAATAATAATTTCTCAATAAATTCCAGGGTAACCTATATATTTTATTATAAAAAACAAAACCTAAATATTTCAAAAACCTTATTTTTAGTTTTTTTCTACTCCATCTAATCATTAAATAATAGTAAAATTAATTATAATTCGAAAATTGTTGTTGAAGTCTTACTTTCTCATAAGACACTGTACAAATACACATTTAAAAAAAAAAATTTCTCAAAAATTTGCACGGTAAGGTATAGTTAAAACTTCACTATTAGATAAATAAGGACATCTACTATTAGAAAAAAATTAATTTTAGTCATAATCTAATATTTTTTATTTAACATTGGTGGCGAAAGGACCTCCTTAACATTGCTCACGTACTAAACACAACTTGGACTGACTTTGACAGATAACATAATTTTGAGTGATACACAACTTAGTTTCGCACATGCGCGTTACAAAACGGTACACTGAAAACACCAAGCTGTGGCTTCATACAACGCTGTCGCTTCTTGATGGGTATTAGGCATTCCAAACAAATGAATTACTAATGGGCAGGTTTGGTATATCTAAGGGTGGCGACATATGGTGTATTCTATCTACTTTACGTAAAATCATGAATAATGGATTACATTTAAATATTTTATGTCAAACACAATAAAAATAATATTTAAAAAACCCACCTATACATTTCTTAATAAATTGGAAGGCTTGGCGACTACTACTTTGAATCAAAATAGCGTCCAAGTTGCAAGACTATGTCGCTACCCCCCTTAGATATACAAGAATTTCCCACTGGCACCTATTGTTTGACAGGTCGTTGGAATGCCTAATTAGGCATTCCAAACTGAATGGCTACCAGTGGGTTTTGATATGGCAAAATTATGGCAACCCTGTAGGCCTGGTGATTTGACAAGGTCAATGAAATAAATAGTTACATAGATTGATCATCCATATTTTTCAAAATAAACATAAGCTTATGCCTTGATGTAAAAATGTAAGCAGTTATTATTTTTTAAATATCTAAAGGCTGACAATTGGTTTTAAAACACATTTTTGCTAAACCGATTCAAATTAATAAATGTTTGCCAGGCAATATGGCCGCACGCAAACGACCAGCTTTGAGCAATCTATATAACTATATATGTATCATTGACCCTATTAATGTCAACATGACAACAGGGTTGCCATATCTAAACTGTCATTACCCACTGGTAGCCATTTGGACAGGTCGTTGGAATGCCTAATTCTCGGATTTTCACTTTCGTATACACTATTTACGTATACAGATAAGGAAGGTATAGGAATCGTGATGAAAGTTGCTTGTGATGTAATTCTCTATATACATGATTTCCCTAAAATGAACCGTATTTGAGATATTTGAGTGCAAATTTTGAATTTTGAGGATAATTCAAAAACGATAAAGAGAGAAACACCAAATTTTAAACTTAAGCTTAAATCCACCCTGCAGTGAGCTGATTAAGTTTTGGGCATAGTCGAAGCATCTAGGGATACTTTATAGGGTGTCGTTTTTTTTTACTTTAGGAAAATAAATAGTCTCTGCAGTATTTTTTTAGGCAACCCATTTGCGGTATATTTATAAACATTTTATTTAATAAAAAATAATTTTCACCCGGTAAGCAGATGGGCAGCTGTGAGAATGGTTTTCATTGCTCCGCTATTCCTAGAACTCTTCGTATGGTGTTTATTTACTTTATCGCTGTTCTTTGCTGTTTTTTCTTTTGGCCACCACACGTATGTTATTACTGTTCTCACCACCTTGTTATATTATAGCTAATATATCCTGGTTTTAGCCTCTTTTTTTTTAAATAAACGATTGCCATCACTATTGATGTTTCCGCTTTTCTTGTAGTTATTTAAGGATGTTGATTCCAAGTATGTTTCGAGTCAATTGTACCCCCGAAATACTTTGCCTCCTTCTTTAGCTAGATGTTGTCCTACGTAGATCCCACGTCCTCTAGTGTTCTTCTGCGGGTGAATGTAAATATGGTGAATTTTTAGGAATATTAAATAGTATTTAGACCCATTTTTCTCAAATTTGTTACTAGATTTAGAGTCTTTGAGGTATAGCTTACTTTATCATGTTCACTTCGATGATTTGATCTGATTCGATTAAGCGCAGTTATGCAAAGTTTACTCCTTTAGAGTATGCTCTTCCAAAATTACTCTTATTATATCAAATTTCCTAACTTATTCATCCATGAAAATAAAATTTTTCTGTATTTTACCGTTTTATAGAGAACGTGATTTTTGAAAGACATTTATATAGATACATAGATACTCACTTGAATACCAATTGGCATCCCATTCCTATCTAACCCACAAGGTATATTTGTAGCAGGTAGTCCACAAGCATTTGCGAATATCGTATAGGCTACATCAATGGAATTGAAGAAGAAATCTACATGCTTTTTAGCTGAGGAATATGAGGTTGGAAACAGTAGTATTCTTTTATCTCCAAAAAAATTCTGAAAATAACACCAAAAATTATGGCAGGTTAAATATTTTTTTTAAAATTTATTTACCCATATCTTTTCACGCATGTTTAACAATTCGCTTGAATCATGGTGAATTAAAGAAGTTAGTACATTGGTTTGAAATAAAGAATAAGAGAACTGCGTGGAAAAATCAGAGGACCCAAAATAACTTTTGAGGAACTCCAAAAAAGGTGTGGGATGTTCCTACAATAAAAAGAATTAAAATGCAATAATTACGCTTCGTTTTTTTTTAACTTACAAATGCAGCTACAGTTTTCTCTCCACTGAGAAGCATATACGTTGAAATACTGATCGAATCTGCCAGATTATCAATTTTTTCATTTGTTATGGTTGAACCACAATTTTCCTTTAAATAATTTGTTGCTGTCTCTATTGCTAGTTTTATATCAGGATCAGTACCGGGTAATGCAGCGTTATTAAAATCTTCCATGAAGGCAATTTCTATTTGTGTAAAATCCACCTAAAATTAACTTCCTTGCATACAAAAAAATATACCTATTTAAAAAAATTAAAAATTACATCACTATTGGAAAGTATTATTCAAAACTACACAACGAACCAACTATTTTTACTTAAACGTTCGCATAACAACAAAATTATTACTATAGAAAAGTTCTGTCACCATCATTTAAAAATTCTTCGATTTTTTCAGCATCTATAATTGTATTTGCACGCACAACTGCTTGTCAAATAGACTGTCCTGTGTAGGTGAGCGTGTGGTGTGCTAAGAAAATCTATATTGCCTTTTTGGCATGAGACATTTTAGTACCAAGTGCTAGGTATTTTTCGGTACACAAAAGAATAAAATAAAAAATATAAAATTTTAATTTTTTTGCAGGGTTCTTACTAGAAGTAGAACGAATACCTATATTTCATATTCATTCTACCTAGTAAGAACCCTGCAAAAAAATTAAATGCATCATATTTTGGTTACTGGTATATTTTGAATTTAGTATGAGTGACAACTCTATCAAACTAATTGTCAGTATATTTTTTAGTTATTGAGATTAAATATAGAAAAATCACTTATTCTTGTGTAGAATCGATAAATAATAGCATTTCTATTTTTATTTCGTCCACATTTACAAATGAATCTTAAATATTATTTAAATTAATTTAATTACGAGTATTAAAAATAAGTGTGGAGATGGAGGTGAGAACATGGCGTTTGGCTTACATGCGAGAGGCCCGGGTTCAAATCTGGGCTAAGGCTAATTAAATCTTTTTTTTCATGTTTATTTTATTTTATAAATTAGTAAATGTCATAATTTTTTTTATATTATTGTGTGGATTGTCCATATCCACTATTGTTGCACAAACTACTATTTCAACAAACATAAAGTCTCCTGGTTTATTGTTGACCTTAAGTGATTAACTTCAACCTTTTGATATTTGAAAAATACCTTTCAGAAGATGTGCTAGCGACATATATCCAAATTATTGGATATAGATATTGAAGAGCATTTCCAAAGTATCATTCGCATTAGTCTTTAATTAATAAGAACATAACAATATTTGTTTAATCATCTGTTGTCAGCTTTTGGAATTTAGCAATTACATATTACATAAGTTTTTCTCTAAAACAAATTCATACCACATCTCATTTCATTTCTTATTATAGTCGACTAATATGTTAATTTCGAAGGGTTCACGCCTGACACTGATTGGATTCATCCTTGTAGGATAATATTTAAACTTAAACACCGAATAATGAGATTCCACTTACCTCTTCATCTAATTTTAATTTTGGCATGTATTCAGGTTCGACCAAAACTTTCAATACCAACTTTAAATCTTTAGCATATCTGACTAGGGGTCCAATAACCGAAAAAGATTTAATTGTTAAATCATCTGAGACTTTTGGAAAATGACCTTTTGTATTCACAGTATCTACAAAATTAAATTCACATTTACAATTTTTCATGAAATTGTGTTAACTATTAATATGGTTTACGAGCTTACTAGCTGTAGGTTTGTGTCCAAAAACCCCACAAAAACATGCTGGTATTCTTATAGACCCTCCAACATCTGATCCAATACCTACTATCGATGCTCCTGAACCTAGTAGTGCTCCCTAAAAAGAAAGTAAATTTGCTCTAGTAGTTCCTAAATATTCTTTGATATTAAGAAAATGTTTTCAAATCCTTATGCGATGAATATTCGGAAATCGATGACAGATTAGTTGCTCGGAATAGTTCTGTGTAGGTATGTTTGGGATTTATAATATTAAATAATAAATAGGTTTGATTGGCATAAAATATCTGAGACAATTTTAGTTTTCCTATTTTTCAATTTATTGTTCCGTTCTGATAAAATAAATAAAAATAATATAGATTCTTGTTGATAATGAATACAATTTTAACCAATTATTTAATTAAAAACGACAAATAAAAATATCTCTAGTAACAAAAATTGGTATATTATAGATTCAATATAAAATCCAATGCACGTCATCGATGACGTCGATGACATGCATTGGTACCACACACACTATAATTACATTTTATTTTCCAATCGATTGAATAAATTCGGACGCATATATTTTTGTTAAAGATTACGCATTAAAAATTTATAGCTAGGTTTTTAACCTGTTATCTCTATTTTTAACAGAGTAATTTTAGTAACTTTCATACTGGTGCAATGAGAACCTGTCCTACGGCCGCAATGGAGGTGATCTTAAACCTCACCCCTCTACATTTGATGATAGAGAATGTGGCAAAAAGGACACGATATAGAATGATCAGGAGCGGAGTAATCAGACGAAAGTCTACTTGCTTCAGGACTAAAGATACCTGGGACATGCCCCAGGATGAAATGCAAAAGAAGTACAGTTTTGTGAAAAACTTCAAAACCACAGAGCTGGGCTGCAAGAAAGAATGGAGCCAAGAATCCATCGCGCTTGCAACCGAAAGACGTGCTATTCAGTGGTACACGGACGGTTCCAAAACCATAGAAGGAACTGGAATAGGAATGTATGGGCCGAGAACCAAGCACTCCGAAAGCTTGGGAAAATACCCAAGCATCTTCCAGGCGGAAATTCACGCCATCGAGAAGTGTATCCAGTTTAACATCGAGAGAAACTATCATAGAAAAGAGATTATCATCATGTCCGATAGTCAAGCAGCCATCAAAGCGCTGAGTTCTTACGTAATCAGCTCAAAAATGGTATGGAGATGCTTAGAACAATTGAATGAGCTAGGCGAGAAAAATAGAGTTACTCTCACTTGGGTCCCGGGACATAACGGGGTACAGGGTAACGAGATTGCAGATAATCTTGCAAGGAAAGGGGCTCAAACACCCTTTGTAGGACCTGAGCCGTTCTGCGGTATCAGCAGTAACATAATATTAGAAGAGATTAAAAAAGAATTGGGTAGTAGAAGAACCGATAATTGGAACAATCTCTTGGGGCTGAGACAGGCCAAGATACTTCTGGGTGAATATAACCAAAAAAGATCGGAAGCCTGCATCTGCCTGAGTAAGAACAGGCTACGTATTGTAACAGGGATCCTTACCGGGCACTGCCGACTAAAAGGACACCTAAGTAAACTGAGAGTAGTAGATGATAGTGAGTGCAGATTCTGTGAGGAGGAGGACGAAACCTCCATTCACATCCTAACTGAATGTGTAGCACTCCAGAATCCAAGGGCACTATATCTAGGAGGATATCAAATAGAAGAGGGAGACTTACCTAACTTGAAGCGATTTCAAATCCTACACTTCCTTGAGAAAATAGGATTGGAAGGGTCGCTATAGGCATTGAGACATTTCCTTAGTGCAGTGGCGACAGAAGGAGGCACAATAGATCTTTTAGGTCGCAGTGTATTAACACCCCATTATCAACATAACATAACATACTGAAAGTTGGTATCAAATTCATGAACTGTCAATTTAAGCATATTGTTGTCAATCCTCCCGTGCTTATCGCGCTTATCGTCGTTCGATTTCTTGTCACCAAATTATTTGTAACTATTGAGATTAAATAATTAACAAACTTATTTTAAGAAAAAAATTCATTGGGTATTTAGTAGCGGTGTTCTTTTATTGTATATTATTTTCCTGAAAAATGCCAAAACAATAATTAAATAGTCGCTGTAAGGAGCTAGTGGCTTCTTTAATAGATTATTTTGATAAATAACGGTTCTCTGCTACCTTTAGCAGATCTTAGAGAAGTAAATACAGATTAATAATGTATATCAACACAATTATTTTCCTTTAGCGTCTACCATTAGCACTTAATCTCGATCTATCTACATCACAAGTAGTAAAGAATAGTGAAGCCACGACTAAGAAAGCGCCTTAGGACAAAGAAAGACACCAACACAAGAATACTGGATACGAGTGCTGTTGGGAATATCTACCAGCAATAGACGGATTTGTAGTAATGATTTATTAATTTGTAAATACACAAGTAAATCAATGTACTCAAATTCTGTTCCACTGTGCTGAATATTCCTTTCTTATATTAATTTGACAATTTCATTATTTTTGATTAAGACCTAGTTGTTGGAAAAGTCAGTAACATAAACAAAGTTTTTCCATAAAATCTTAGAAACAAAACAAGATAAAAAAATACAGGATGTTAGTGTGGAAATAACAAGAGAGGACAGTCAGAACGAGAAACTAAAATCGGGAGACATAGAGCTACAATCCAATTTAAAGGGATTTAAAGGGATTCTAAATGGATTCCATAGGTTGCGGCTAATTATTACAGTATATTAAGGTAATATTAAATATTCTGTGGTAGTATGTTGTCATCAGGTGATTTTAATACAGTTACGCTTTACGTGTCAACTAGTATTAATTGATTGTACCTCTGTGATTTTATTTGTTTTGTATTAGACTTATTTTTATTAATAAAATATTTTATGTTTTACGACTTAGAATGTATTACATTTATAAAAATTTCTAAGAAAATATGTCAAAGAAAAGGAAGCAAGTTTGTATCAGTTTGTTTTTATTGACGAAACTTGAATTTTCCAAAATGGTACGATAAACCGTTATTGGTAAGATATTAATAAAATAAGGGAGATGGGAAGAGATAAAGAGATTGTACTGTCGGTAGCACTCCGAACCATTACCCTACACATTTGGGGAAACAGTGTAAGACAGATAAAAAAGAAATATTCAAATAAAATAAAAGAGAACATATAATGGATATATTGGAAATAGCTCCCATTATTAAATCATCTAAGAGAGGTGATTCTGACTTCAGTTCTGATGAATCTGCGAGAAGACATTTTTTACTTTTAAATTATATTTAAGTTTTAAACTTTACTATCTAATGTTCTAATTATTGTTATTTCTTTAAAAAATAGATGTTTATAAACTAAGTGAACATCTTTTAAAAATAAATGTGAACACAATTACTTTTTATTGCAAATTGCAACAAGCCTAAATAAAATTTTGTTTGTCATCTTTAAGCCAAAACCTTTATTTCAAAGTTTCAGACTTCTTGTCCCAAAATTTACTCCTACAAAAATTCCTCCGTTATTTTGGTAATTTGGCAACTATGTGTGATTCGATGACGTGCATTGATTTTTATATTGAATCCAGTTATATTATTACCTCTCCACTGGATGAACCCCCAGAGGTATAAGTAGTGTTATAAGGATTATTTATTTTTCCTTTAGTTTTACTTTCACTACCGGATGAGAAACATAGTTCAGGTGCATTAGAAATAAGTAAGGGAATGGCGCCACCTGACTTCATTCTAGTGACTGCTGTACCGTCTTCTTGTGCTTTAGTTCCAAGTAGGGATAAACTACCAACAGACAGTTCCATGCCTAAAATAAATTGTTTTGCAATTTTAAAAATTAGCGATACATTTAAACATAGTTCTTTTAATGTGTTGAAATGCGCACACCTTTTTTGGTCATAAAAGAAAATTGTTTGTATTTTAAAATTGAGCCTGAATACAAATTTTTAAATAAATATAAATTTTGAACTGTAAATCGGGAAAACCCATGGTTGTTAAACGTTTATGGTGGAATGATAGGAATATAGTTGGTGGGGCCCTACCCTTTTGATGGCCTTTTAAATGGAAGAATTTTTGAAGAAAGATTTTAGGAACCATCTAGAGGGTATTCCTTTGCATATTAGACGAAAAATGTGGCTGCAGCTAGATGGTGCTCCGGCCCATTTTTCGCATAATATCAGGACCTATTTAAAGCAAAAATTTCTTGAAAATTGGAAAGGAAGAAAAGGCCCTACTAATGGGCCCCCTAGATCACCCGATCTAACCCCTCTAGATTTTTTTCTTATGGGGATATGTTAAAAATGTAGTTTATCAAACTCAGTCGACCACCGCCGAAGATATGAAAACACGCATTCGTGATGCGTTTGCTACTATCTATTAATTTAGAGATTTTATGTAATGTAAATGGTTCATTTTGAACATTTATTGTAAATTTAAAATTTATTGACAAATTTTGGAATAAATATATTTATTTAATGGCCTTGTTAAAATAAAACCTTTTGTAGATGCGTGAAATTTTTTGATTCATTTAAACTATAGAACCTTATAGAACTTTTAAAGTAAATAAAATTTCCTTCATATTGGTACCATAAAATAGAGTGTGTTCCATTTAAATTAACGCTAATTAAATAAAACATTTTACTGTAATGAAACTTTAAATTGCAAACACCTCGTACATTTTTTGAATATTTTAATGATTCTGATAGAAAGTTACATTTTGTAAGGAACTGCTAAAAATTCGTTAATTATTTTGAAATCAGGAGTAATTAATTAATTTCGGCAGCACTACATTTTCAAAAAATATCAAATAAATCGGAAATTATCAAGGATAGGTATAGAAAATCTTTATTTAACTAAAATATAAATTTGAAATTTTTATTACTTTCACAATTAAATTACCGATTTTGAAAATAATAATTTTCTCAACCACTTATGCTCAGAATTTTATTTTTAAATTCAATAAACAATAAATATCTACCTTTTAAACTACAAGTTTCTTTGACAGTGAAGGGGAGCCCAAGAAGAGGTTTCGTTTCTTTTAATTCTTTCTCGGTCAAGGTTGTACTTGATAAGAACTCATCGACATCTTTGGCGTCTAAAAACGCTTGGTCAAATCTTTCTTCACTTACAGCATTTAAAATAGGATTCACTTCCTTGATCCTATCTATAAAAGCTTGACAAACTGTTTGAGATGAAATCTGAAATTAAATTAATAAAAAATAAAATATCATAATTAAATGGTTCTTTAATAACTTTTCTATTTTGGCTTTGGCAGGGACCAATTACATTTTTTAAAAAAAAATTTTTATTTACATTTTGTTTTATTTACATTTTTTTTTATTTACACGTTTTCTTATTTACATATTTTTTTTATTAACATGTTTTTTATTTACGTTTTTTTTATTTACATTTTTTATTTACATATTTTTTATATATTTTAAAGAAATGAGCAAAACTGATAGATCATCCTTTACTTTTCAGATTACTTAATTCTTCAAAACCTTCACCAAGAACAGGGAAGGATGGGATACTATTGATTGACTCCCATCCTATGTAAAAACTGGGTGGTATCATTGGTATTTTTTATAATATATTTGTAACCAGAATAATTTAAATGATGCATTTTAGGAAAAATGTATTTATTTTTACTTTCCTATCTGTATACAGATATAAGGAAAGTATAGGAATCATGATTTTTTTCGACCTCGAGTTTTCGACGGATTTTTACGTTTTGAGTTCCCCTGAATCCGTTTTGACTATTTTCGCGATGTCTGTCTGTGTGTGTGTGTGTGTGTGTGTGTGCGTGCGTGCGTGCGTGTGTGTGTGTGTGTGTGTGTGTTTGTGTGGGGGGTGTGTGTGTGTGTGTGTGTGTATGTATGTGTGTGGGTGCGTGCGTGTGTGCGTGCGTGTGTGCGTGCGTGCGTGGGTGCTTACGTGGGTGCGTACGTGCATGCATGCAATCGTGCATGCGTGCGTGCGTGCGTGTGTGAGTGCGTACGTGCATGCATGCGTGCGTGCGTAAGTGAGTGCGTGAGTTCGTGCGTGCGTGCGTGTGTTTGTCTGTATCCACCATAACTCATGAACCGATACATAGAGAAACACCAAATTTTAAACTTAAGCTTTATTCCAGCGTCCAATGAACATATTAGATTTTGGGTAGAGTCGGAACATCTGGGGGTACTTTATAGGTGGCCATTTTTCTATTTTATGGAATATATCTGTTATTTACGTTTGGAGAAGAAAATTCTTTAAGTAAAAGTTACTTCTAATATTATTATCTATAATTTTTGTTATATACAACATTTTCCTAAAATGGTCCGAATTCGAGAAATTTGACAAAATGTAAAAAAAATAATTTTTTATAAAAATTGTTCAACTAAAAGTTTGTAATATAATTTTCTATAATTTTTAATCTATACATAATTTCTCTAAAATGGACCGTATTCGAGATATTTGAGAAAATGTGTAAATTTCGAATTTTGAAGAAAACTCAAAAACGGATAAAGAAAAAAAACATTAAATTTTAAACTTAAGTTTTATTTTAGCCTAACGTGAAATGATTAGATTTTGGACAAAGTCGAAATATCTGGGGGGGGTACTTTATGGGAGGCCGTTTTTATATTTCATGGAATATATCTGTTATTTATGTTTGGAGAAGAAAATTGTTCAAATAAAAGTTATTTCTAATATTATTATCTATAATTTTTGCTTTGTCATAATTTCCTGAAATGGTCCGTATTGGAGAAATTTGACAAAATTTGCAAAATTCTGATTTTTATGAACATTGTTGAACTAAAAGTTGTTTGCGATATCGATCTCTATAATTTTTGTTTATACATGATTTTTCTAAAATGGACCGTAATAGAAAAATGGTAGAAAAGTTCTAAATTAAAATTTTTCAGTATTTTCGTTTTCAATGAATACCTGAATACCTATCTATAGAAAAATGTTTCGAGGTAGATCTATGTGGAAAATGTATATATTTAGTTTATCCTCTAAACATTTACAGATGTTGCAATAGGTTCTACAAAATAACCGGAAAAAGCCTATAATAACTAGATAGGAAAGTCATGTGTTGGACACATCAGATTTTTACATTACACTTTTATAATATTTACATAAAAAAACATACGACATACGTGTTAAAATGAATACATACCCAAGTAACTAAAAGTGAAACAAACTAAACTAATTAAATTAAAACACATGCTTATAGATATTGACCTACATGGGTGTCGCCACACGAGGGCTAGGGGGCGTCTGCCCTCTCCTGGATTTGTGATTTTTGATTTTTCGACTATAGCCTGGGTCGTTTTGACCCTGTCTATAAAACTTGCCCCACTGGAAATTCTTTGAACATCGCCCATGTTGATCTATCTATAACTTATGAAAAATAAAAACAAAATAATAAAGCTATTAGAATTTGTGAAAGGTAGATGTAGCATAGACTTTATCTAAAGTCTAATTAAGTTAATATATTTATGATCTAATATGAAAGTGACTTTTTAATAAGCTATTAGTAGCAGCGAGAGCATCAATTACCTTTTGATTATCCACACGATTTAACAAGGATTATTCTGTAATCATAATCATTAAAGCTTCCTGTCTTTCATCAGAAATACGTTTTCTAAGCCTATTCTTAATGAACTTCAGTGAAGAGAAAGACCTTTCACAAGAAACTAAATCGGTAGTGTTAATAAATACTGATATGCCACAGCGAGTGTCGCATAAGCCCCTTGATACATATTTTACTTTAATATAGTAGTGTAGGGTCATGTAGGACAGTTCTGGCAGTATTTACCACTTTTACCAGTTTTTTGGTGCATCTCTTCATCTTCTGAGGAATCCATGAACTCCAAATTTGCTAGTTCTTCTTTTAGCCGAGATAAAGTTGATAATAATTTAAATTTAATAAGTCTATCAGATAATCTGTCCATGCAATTATCTCTAAAGTTTTTGGGATCTAGAATAGCCAAATCTCGGCAAAGTTCCAAGTTTCTGGAATATTGGTTTTTCATTAAAGAGCCTGCAATATTCATAAGGACATTAAACGTGTAAAGTCTAGAAGAATATGCAACATTATTCCAGGGTGAAATAATAGCCATGCAACACTGTGCAAGAAAAATAATAAATCAGCAAGTATTTGGCAAAACTATTGCTATTGCTAAGCCAAGCAGCTCTAAAGGCAATAATTTCTCCCACCAGAAATCAAATCACGACTGGTGAAAGACTGCCTAGAACACCTTGCAGAGCTAAGTACTCAAAATAAGGTGAGCCTAGTTTGGGTGCCAGACCATGAGTGATATCAGGACAACGAAAAGGCCGACGAATCAGCCCGAGAAAGCCATGACATGCCTCAAAACCTTCTGTGGAGTTGCTAAGGTATTGTGCAAGGCATCAAACAAACAATGGATACAAAAAGAGTCTCAGGAATGGTGGAACAACTATCCAAGATTGAGATACGCTAGGAACCATCGGTCAAGATCACAAAAGACCTACAGGATCAAAAACGTTAAATCGTTAGAATAGCAGTAGGTCTTTTTATCGGACATTATCGCCTAAGAAGGCACATAAGTGTCATCAATCCAGCAGAAGAAGCAACATTGTGCAAGTTCTGTGAAGAAGAAGAGGTAAATATATCCTGTGCCAGTGTGAAGGCCTGGCTAGATTGAGATATCTAATATTAGGCGAAGAAAAGCCAGACGCATGAAACTACAGGCGAGAGCCACTTCCAAAGCTACTAAGTCTAATAAAAAAAAGACCAAGCTAGACGAAATCTTCCAAAAAAAAAAAACAGATTTTCTATGTTTTTTATATAAATTATTTGAAAATCCACAATAGATCTGAACAAGGACAAATAATGTCAAACTCCTTTTAAATCTAATCTAATCTATATCTACTGTATATACCTATTTTTCGGAATACCCACTACACTTATTATGTAATACTCGTGTTGTGTTTCATTAAAATAGAAAATTTTATTAACACTCGGTATTTAATTTTAAGGATTGCGACCCATCTGTAGTTTGTAACAGTAGGGGCCCCAAGCCCAAAGGGCCCCAGGGTACTGCACAATAAGAGGCCCCTTGGGAAATTTCCCGTTTTCTCGGTTTCCCTCTACGCCCCTGGCTAAATGTGTCTTCTTAAGGTCTCTTAGCGGCTGTAGAATTTTTCGAAGGACAATTTTTGAAAATTGGTGATGTTTTCTATTCGCTGGTTCATTATGACGTAACTCTCTTTTTTACCTGCTTGACCTTTGAAATTTAGAAGTTCTTGGAGTTTTGTAGAAGGTTGTGAAGTAATGTGCTCAACTGAAGAATCTTAAAGCTCACAAAATTCTTTATTTAATTTTTGTAGATCGTGTGTTGTACAATGTGCTTACAACATTTTTAAATTTATCTTTATTTCAAAAACTAATTATTTGCACACTACATAATTCTCTTAACTCAAGCCGAAGGGATCTGTGAGAGTGATAATATTACAAATACATTTATAAGTTATTTTTCGGTGAAGACCATAACGTGGCTTTTCAAGTCACGCCACGTCTAGGATCAGATCAATGGTTTTGTTTAACGTAGCTCTCTTATGGATTGTGATATCAGGGGGGCTATTTTCAAACTCGAGAGAATTCATTTCTCTCAAGAGAAATGTCATACGTCAACGTAAAACCGTATTTTTGGGGCTCTTAGGGCCAGTGTGAACTCACTGACTGTTTTTCTCGGTTTATTTAGAGAGAATTAAAATCTTCCTAAGAATTTTAATCCTCGATACCTTTAAAAACAACATTTCCACATTGACGTATGACATTTCTGATGAGAATCTTGAGAGAAATGAGTGCTTCCATACTTTGAAAATAGCCCCCCAGGGGGGCTAATTTAAAACTCGAGAGAATTCATTTCTCTCAAGAAAAATGTCATATGTCAACGTAAGAAAGTATTTTTAAGACTCTTAGGGCCAGTATGGACTCACTGACTGTTTCTCTCGGTTTATTTAAATATAATTAAAATTCTCCTAAAAATTTTAATCCTCGGGGCCTTTAAAAACAGCGTTTCCACATTGACATATGCCATTTCTGATGAGAATCTTGAGAAAAATGAGTGCTCCCATACTTTGAAAATAGCCCCACCGGATGATATAACCGTTCCCACCTGCACAGTTAGCATCAAGGTTTTTCTGCTCATAATTAGCTAATACTTTG